AGTATGTCAGGGGCACCTGCCACCTTGACTCTCGTTGTCAGCATGGACAAGGGCTGGCATTCCAGAAGGGTCCAGGACTGCAGCCAGCAGGCAGGAAGTGAGACCCCACTACAGCTCTGCTCACAGTCTGGTTCTGCATACAGCAGCCACTAGGTCTCAGCGACTCACTGATCCAAGTCCAAGGTGGCTGGGAGCCAAGAAGTCACAAGCAGAGCTGTGACCAGGCTGGTGCCAGGGTCCTTCCTGCAGGTTCGGATGGCGCTCAGTTGAGAGTGCACTTGGGCCTCCAGCTGCCTTCTGTTCTTCTCTGTGGTGCACACACCTGTGATGGCAGCACTCAGAAGGCGGAGACAATCCCAATCCTGCAGCAGTGGGCCAATTAGAAGGTGACAGACTAAAGCAAACATGTGGGTGCCTGCCCGCCCTCTGTCCAGGTGGGCTCTCAGAATTTTAGAGAGGACTGTTTGTAGACCTGGCCCTGGGCTTGATCCACAGACCTGAGCAGAAATGCTGCAGTGTTGACCCCTGCTGGCAGCTGGGGGTGGGAAGAGGAGGCGTCCAACAGAGTGGGGGGGTTACTGTATCTCCTAGACGGTCCCTCAGGGGCCAGTGTCCACATGTTCCTGCTTATGTCAAAGTGGCCAGCTTGGCCTGGGGATCAGGGACAAGTGGTTCTCAACCGTGCTAGTGCCATGACCCTTTAATACAGTTCCTCATGTTGTGGTGACCCCCAACCATAAGTGTCTCACTGTTACTTCATAACTGTAATTTTTCTGCTGCTATGAATCTTAAGGTAAATATCTGATATGCAGGATGTCTGGTATATGCCCCTTCTGAAAGGGTCGTTTGACCCCCCAAAGGGTTGTCACCCACAGGTTGAAAACCACTGCTTTATGTGCAGTTTGGATTCAGAGGGACTGATGGGCTGTCCTTTGTGAGCAGCCCAACAGAGTGGCGGACTCCTGTGTGAGCAGCCCAACAGAGTGGCGGACTCCTGTGTGAGCAGCCCAACAGAGTGGCGGACTCCTGTGTGAGCAGCCCCACAGAGTGGCGGACTCCTGTGTGAGCAGTCCAACAGAGTGGCGGACTCCTGTGTGAGCAGCCCAACAGAGTGGCGGACTCCTGTGTGAGCAGCCCAACAGAGTGGCGGACTCCTGTGTGAGCAGCCCAACAGAGTGGCGGACTTGTGCCTCGCGCTCTTTTATTCTTCCTGTCACATGCTTGTCAGCAGATACCAGGTTGGCATGTCTCTGTAGACCAGTTCTGTGTCCTCAGGAAGCAGTGTGACAGCACAGAGTGTGGTTTGGCTGTAGGAGGGACTTACGGGGTACAGGTCAGGATCTCATCACCCCAGGGTCACCCTCTGTCCAACAGTGCATTAGAAAGACTCAGAACTCTCTGGAAGCTCTCTGACTTACAGTTATAGTTTATTTCGGCCAAGGAGACATGGGGCAGGCCTTTCAGTTGTTCCATCACTATGACACCACATGAGCATGCTCATCCTGCCCACACCAGTGTGTGCCAGCACAGCCATACTGCCTGGGCATCTGGGTTCTTGTTGAAGGTCAGTCTTTAAAGCCCAGGTCCGTGATGATACACCTTAATAACTAGTTAGGTTGGTGGTAGCGCACACCTTTAAATCGGCAGAAGCGGGCCGATTTGTGAGTTCGAGGCCAGCCTTATATACAGAGCCAGTTCCAGGACACAGAGAAACGCTCTCTCAAAAAAACCAAAAACTATGTCTACAGTCAGTCAGTCAGTCAGTCTGTCTGTCTGTCTGTCTGTCTATCTATCTATCTATCTATCTTTCTATCATATCTCCACATGTGTGTGAGAATGAGCCATGACACACATGTGGAGGTCAGAGGGCAACTTATGGGAGTTGGCTCTTTTCTTCACCATGTGGATTGTGGGGATCAAACTCAGGTCATTAGACTGGGTACTGAGCTGCCCAAACCTGCCAAGCCATCCTGCTGGCATTGCTGCTCCAGCCCTCTTTTGTTTTTTTAAACAGGTCTCCATAGCCAGTGACTGATGGAAACTAAATCCAGGTTCCACTTCTATGTTTGAGTTCTTGTCTTCAACATGAAAATCTTGCAAAAATTCCTTCCACCAGAAGTGCATTCTGGGAGTTCAGAGCCTGTGTGGTTAGCTGTCAGGTGCTCCAGCTCACATGGTTCATCCTTTGCAGACTGGGACTTAATAATGACTGTCACGATAGCAGTGGATGAACAATCAAAGCCACCACACCATCGCCAGGCTATCATGACACCTGGGTTTTGAGTTCTTTGTTGCATGACAGGCCCATATGGTCATTCTCCAGCTCTTAGGTGGCTCAGAACGTTACTGCCAGGCTGGTGAGGTTTTTCTTGGCTCCATCGCTGTTTCTGGAGAGGGAGCTTTGGGGGCTTTGAGAGACTTCGGCCTTCACCCACCGTTCACATTCACGTTACAGCTTTTCCCCGTGGACGTTAAACTAACAGAAAAATCTGCTGCTTTATTGGGTCATCTCAAAGTTTTCCACTTGAGATAACTGTGTTAGGTCTCATGTTGAGACTGGCGGTTCTCACACAAGCTGGAGTCTTCTGAGAGTCAGAAGCCACTTCTGATAAAATGCTTTCTTAAGACTAAGCTGCAGCACTCAGGAGGCAGATAGATCTCTGTGAGTTTGAGGCCATCCTGGTCTACAGAGTGAGTTCCAGGACAGGCTCCAAAGCTACAGAGAAATTCAGTCTCGAAAAACCAAGAGAGAGAGAGAGAGAGAGAGAGAGAGAGAGAGAGAGAGAGACTAAGCTGTAGGCAAGCCTGTGGGTATTTTCTTAATTAGTGATTCATGGGGAGGGCCCAGTCCATTGTGGGTGGGACTATCCCTGGGCACGTGGTGGTCCTGGGTTCTCTAAGAAAGCAGGCTGAGCAAGACTTGGGGAACAAACCAGTAAGCAGCATCCTCTATGGCCTCTGTATCAGCTCCTGCCTGGAGTTGCTGCCCTGTGTGAGCTCTGGTCCTAAATTCTTCTGATGAATCATAAGCCAATTCTCCCATTCTTCCCCAACTTGCTTTTGGTCATGCTTTTTCCTTGCAGCAATAAAAACACTTAAGATACTGGTCTTGACCTCCTGCCCTTCCTGCCTCAGCCTCTTCAGTGCTGGAACGACAAATGTGCGCCCCATACCCTACCGCAATGGTACCCTGTCAGGGAGGATGTCCTGAAGGCCTCCAGGTGTCTTGTGCAAATTCTGTTTGTCACCAAAGGTGGGCCTGACGGCCCCAGGGAAGGTGGGGTTTGCACCACAGCAGCCAAGATAGAGCAGCTGCTGCAAGGCCTTGCTGAGCTAGGTGGGGGGGCTCAGACATCTTGCAGGAGAGCAAAGCTTCTGCAGAGTGGACTGGAACCCCCGAGGATCGTTCTGGTCAGACCCAGTTCTGAGGTTCATCCCCAAATACCAGGCCTCCTGTGTTCTCAGACATAGCTGTAAATACAATGGCCTGATGTGCACTGCCCTGGCGCCTGGTCTCCAAAACCTATGGCTCTGTCCATCCATGGAGAACCACATGTGGACACATGTACTGTTCCGTGCCATTTCTGTCACCACAGGACTGGTGGAGCACAGACCCATCAGTGGCACTCACACTAGGAGGTGAGAAATTGAGGCTCAGACAGGTGGGGACCTAAGGAGTGTGACCTAGCCCTGGACAAGATGGGCACTAAGAGCTACACTGGCTTTGTCCCGAGAAGCACTCCTATTCTCACTTGTTTCAATTTTGTTTGTTTGTTTGTTTGTTTGTTTTTTGAGATAGGGTTTCTCGGCAGCTTTGGAGCCTGTCCTGGAACTCACTCTGTAGACCAGGCTGGCCTCGAACTCACAGAGATCCACCCCCTCTGCCTCCTGAGTGCTGGGATTAAAGGCGTGGGCCACCACTGTTCAGCTTTGTTTCATTTTTAATTACACTCACTTGTGTGGGTGGAGATAGAGGACAAACTGACAACCTGTAGGAGTCAGGTCTCCCTGGGGTTCAAGGATTGAACTCGGGTCCTTAAGTTTAGCAGCAAACACTTTTTCTTCTTGAGCCATCTTGCCTGCCCCTTTCCATATTTCATAGCTGCAGGGAGGAACTCAGTGGGGTGCTGTGGGTGGGACCAGCTGGCATCCACTGAGAACACAGAAACCTCCCAGTACAGACCCAGCAGAGGCACCCAAGATCCAGGCCCATTCACCTTCCTCTGTCCTCCACTGAGGCACACAGGAAACAGCTGTTTACCTGGGTGAGGTGCTTGACCTGGCATGCAGCCAGTTGGAGTCTTGCTTCCTCCTCCAGTGTCCAGGGCCTCCCCAGGAAGCAAGGGCTGGCGTGGGAGAGGGGCGGGAAGTTGGGCTGCCAGTTGTTTGTGAGAGAAACTGAGAGGCAGCCCTGTTGTGTACACAGTGCAGGACCCTAGCAACCACAGCCCAGCCAGAGCAGACAGCACTCTCCCTGGCCACTACGTCCAGACACCGGAAATGGGCCATGCCCCTTTCCCTACAGTCCGCACTCCTAAGCAGGGCTGGAGACTAGCAGGCATGCTACTCAGATATGTGACTGTACCTGCTTCCTCAGAGTCCCAAGGAGCTGGAGGGCTTAGGTAGGATCCCCAGTGCTGACTAGGGCTAGAGGGTCAGACAGACAGCCCCCACATGTTATATTAGTAAACAGTTTTCCACCATTGAAATAGGCTTCCCAATGGCCAGCATGTCTGTGGTTTCTGGCCAGGCTTTCCCAGGTCTCTCAGTAAAGTGAGCCAGGCAGCTAGCTCCACAAGTTCATGGTCAGAAGCTTCTTTGGGGTGCATTATCCCACTTGGGGAGCACCATCTAGAATAGGTTCTGCCTCTTTCAGAATCTCTGTCACGGGGTCCCTCAACCCCACCACCTGAACCCTCTGGGTGTCTGGGTATTCTGTGGGGCTCTCTTAGAACATGTTCCCTCCTGCATGGTGACAGCTGGTGGCTTTGCTTCTCCAGCTTCAACTGCAGAAGTCCCAGTACCTGCAGCTGGGCCCCAGCCGCGGCCAGTACTATGGCGGGTCCCTGCCCAACGTGAACCAGATTGGAAGTGGCAGCATGGATTTCTCCTTCCAGGTGAGCCCCCTTTCCTCCTAGGATTTCCCCTTTCCTAGGTAATATTGCAAGTCTTCTTGTCTCAACTTTGTTGCATTCTGGGCTCCACTCGAGCCACAGCCTGCAGGGACAGCTGGGTGGCCCCAGGCTGAGCTGTTTCCACCCATTCTCTTACATCCCGAGTCTGGAGGTGGCTGGCGGGGCAGCCGCTCCAGGTTCCCTGAGCTCCACTGAGTCCTGGAGTCAGCCTACCCCCTCCCCGACTAGTCATAGCACTCAGCAGCTGCTGCACCTGCCAGCAGGCTTTGAGGCCTTGGAAGAGCTCAGGGCCTTGGAGGCTTGGCTCCAGCCGCCTCACTGATCTGCAGTTCTCAGAAGGAAGCCCCTGCTGCCTGACCCCACTTGTCTGCAGACAGTTCTTGGCAGAGCCGCACACCCTGCAGGCTCCCTCAGGCTGCAGGCTGCTGTCAGGATAATGTAGATAAGGGCCAGTGTCTCCTCCCCAGACCCCAGTCTGCAGGAGAAGTGAGAGGAGGGGGTTCAGACAGGGCCCTCCAGCCATCAAACAGTGCTACCAAGGGTCTGGGAACAGCCATGTCCCCAAGAGCTGGCAGGCTCCAGAATCATGACTCCTCCCCTACCATGTGGCTGCTGGGATAGTCAGTCTGTGCCTGGGTGTGCTTAGACTGCTAGCTTGGTCCTGGGGAACCTCACTCTGTGGAGTTCCAGAGCTTGGCATACTGAAGTCACTGGCTTTCTGGGGTGGGTAATCTCCATTTTATCTTCAGCTCCCCCTCCCCAGCACCTTCACTTAACCCTGCATGGTCACCACAGTGCCCTTCTCAGTCTGAGGGCACAAGGGACCCTATTGGGCCCACACCTGCCCACTGGACAGTTCAGGGTGTTGGTTCTTCGCATTTTCAGTGCAGTGGGTTTTAGGGGTAACCCTGACCACAGCTCAGTGTCTGTGCTAACTGAGCCCCAGACTGAGGCTGTTCCTGCCCAGCCCCGACCTGTGAGGCCTTCACCCATATGATGTGCACACCCTTCACCCATATGTGCACACCCTTCACCCATATGATGTGCGCACCCTTCACCCATATGATGTGCACACCCTTCACCCATATGTGCACACCCTTCACCCATATGATGTGCGCACCCTTCACCCTTATGTGCACACCCACAGCTGTCCCTGTGGCTCCTGGGGAGGTACCCTCCACCCCTACCCAGGGTGAATCTGCTCAACGTCCCCCGGGACTCTTGGGGTCCTTCTTGGGCAGATGCCATGTGCACATATCCTGACCTGGGATCTGTTGCAGCAGAGTCCAAACGTGTCCCAAGATTTATGATCTAAGCCTGGAAGCATGCACATGCCCAAGTGCTGGATCCTAGATAGAACTGAAAGGCTAGGAGGGGCCTGGAGAAGAGGGCGGGGATTGGAAGGCTGGGCAGGGTCTAGAGGGCTAGTGGCCTCTATGCAGGATGGGTTTTGGTTGCTAATGGGGGCAAAGGGCTGAGGGGGGTCTAATATAAGGAGGCATTCCTGGCCTAGAGAGATGGGCAGCAGCTGCCTCGGTTTTCTCTTGAGGCTTACAGATGTCTCGGAGAGATGACTGACCCCTTCCTCCCCAGGACTGGTGGGGAGGCTCATGGCCATTTTTGAGCCTCACTTTCCCCTCCTTGGGGAAAGCTATAGAAAATCCCAAACCAGCAAGGTCTCTCTGGGTCACAAAGAGATTTGGCAGTGGCTACTCAGCCAGCCCTGAAGGCAGACACACAGAAGTGGCTAGTCCATTCCAGCCACTGCCAGCAGGAAGCCCATTTGAATATCAGAATGGTTTTTGCTTTATGCCTGGGGACAGAAGGGCTAGGTAGCCAGGCAGTCATGGGGATAAGACACGTCCTGGGCTGGCACAGGCAGCTGAGTTCACCCTAACATGGTGACAGGCTTCTGGCAGCCTTGGGGACACCAAGGTTTGCCTGGAGTCTTGTGCCAGCCCAGGTGTGAGTAAGCAGCCCTAGCCAGCCAGCCAGGCCACAGCTCCGGAAGGCGCCTGTACTTGGCTCTCAGTGGCGCCTGGCTGAGATGCTGGGGTGGAGTGGGAGAGGGGCTAGGAGAGAGGGCTCCCACTCAAACCAGAGCAGTTCTGGACTCTGCCTTGATCCTCTTGGGAGCAAGTGCCGGGCCAGGTGGGCCCCACAGCAGCTCTGGGCTTGAAGCCCTGGGGGCCTCTCTTGGCTGGCCCCTTCAGAGATGACGTAGGTGGGGACAGGAGGCCGGCCAGGCCTGGAAGAGAGGGTGGAGGCCTGTCTGCACCTGGCCAGCTGGGGAGAGCTATCCCTGGCACCCAGGCAAAGCTTGGAGTGCCCTGTCTGGCCTGAACATGCAGGCTGCACTCCAAGCCTCCTGACCTTCCTGGGACACCCCTGCCAGCTTTTGCACCCTAGCCCCATGGTGCAGCTGGAACTTGGTCTGCCAGAGAAGCCTATGGGGTAGAGTTTGAATGTGTCCCCAGATCAGGGGTCCCTGAGGGTAAAGCTGGGGGAACCTCAGGCCTCAGCCAGTAATCTGGGTTTGGGTCTCCTCTCTCCTTTCTGACCCCATTCCTTCTCTCCAGACACCGTTTCAGTCCTCAGGCCTGGACACAAGTCGGACTACACGACACCATGGGCTTGTGGACAGAGTATATCGTGAGCGCGGCAGACTTGGCTCCCCGCACCGCCGGCCCCTCTCAGTTGACAAGCATGGGCGACAGATATCCTTTTGCAGAGGATGTGTGTGGGATTGGGAGGGAGCGGGAACAGGCACACGCTGTTGCCTGTGCACACCAAATCAGGGAAATCTGGGGTCAGCCTGCAGATAGCCAGTGTGCTGGAGTCAGAGGTGGGGTCAGTGGGACAAAGAGCAGAATTAAGGAGGTGACTCCAAACCACAGAGGACTGATCAGGAGCGCAGCCTTCAAGGGCTGCAGACAGAGCCAGGCCCAGATGGACACAGCGATGACTCCACACACAGTCCTGCCTCTGTTGTTTGGAGGGTGGACACCTGCCAGGGTCCTCCTCCTCACTTGGCTGCCACTGCGAGATCCTCCGGCACAGAGTGGCTTTAGGTTTCTCCTGCCCCCGCCCCCAACTCTGCAAGATGGAGCTGTTTGCTTGCTCTCTGCTTTTTGCTTCTGAGCCTTTGGTGCTAGGAGCTGCCTCAATCAAAGAGGTCAGTTGAATTTGGCCTCCATGAGGTATCTGGGCCCCAGTGTGAGGCCTGGGCCTCCTCTTAGAATAGTTTGGAGGGTGGTGCTGAGTTGTGGGTGAATGAGCCAGGCCCCCCAGGGAGCCCCTGCACCAGCAGCTGCTTCCAGCCAGGCAGGAAACACCCGTTGCCCTCCTGGCCAGCTATCTGCAGACCCAGCCACAAGCTGGGAGCCCAAGCCACACCCAGCCAGTGTGCCAGGCTTCCTATGCTGTGGCCATGACCAACATGTGACCAAGGGAGGGTCAGAGCCCACTGCGAGGTTCCCTTAACTCATACACGCTGACAGCTGCCCCTATGGCACCGTGTACCTCTCGCCTCCTGCAGACACCAGCTGGAGGAGGTCAGTGCCAGGGCCACCTGCCTCCGGGAGAAGACAGTGTAGACGATTGTTACAGTTGTGTAAGGAGATGCAGGGCATGGTCACTGGAAAGTGACCAAGTGAGCCAGATGCTCCCAAAGGATTCCAGAAGTCAACTTCGAAATACAGAGAGGGTGACTTCATGAGCCTTCAGAGCCTCATTTCTCTCCCTGCTCCTCCTCCCACTTTCCTCCTGCTTCTTCTGCTCCTCTTCTTCCTCCTGCCCTTCCTCCCTCCTCCTCCTCTTCTTCCCTCTCTTTCTCTTTTTCCATATTTCTTTTTGTTTGTTTGTTTGTTTGTTCGTTTTTTTGAGACAGTATCTCCCCATGTAGCCCTGCCTGTCCTGGAACTCACTCTGTAGACCAGGCTGGCCTCGAACTTGCAGAGATCTGCCTCCCTCTGCCTCCCCAAGTTCAGGGGTTAAAGGTGTGCACAGCCACCACCTGGTTTTTATTTCTTCTTTCTAGAATTGAATAGTCGGTGGTGTATCTTGCCTGTTTCTTTTTTATTTTGTTCTCCTAATGAGACAACCTCTCACTTCCTAGCCCAGACTGGCTGCAGCGGCCCCCGGCCTCCCGAGTGGCGGGAGTAGAGGTGTGCACCACCAGCCTGGCATTTGCTGCATGGAAGCTGCCTTTCAGACACATTACTAAATGGTCTTTGGCAACTGAGATTTGGGTCTGCAGCAAGCACCACCTGCCACACATGAGGCCCCTGCTTCTATCCCAGCACCATGAAAAGGAAGCTGTAGGGAATGCTGCTTGTCGGTGTTAACTGGATGTGGAGGTCCCTGCCAGTCGTAGCAGCATGTGGGAGACAGAGGCAGGCAGATCTCTGTGAACTCCAGGCCATGCAGGGCTGCAGAGGCAGCTCAGCAGCTCAGCATATTGTCTGTTCTTCCCAAGGACTCAGGTTTGAATCCCAGAACCACATGCTGACCAGCACCTGTAACTCCAGCTCCAGAGGCTCTGACACCCTCTGCTGGCCTGCAGAGGAACTGCATGCACAAACACTAAAATAAATCTTGGGGAAAAAAGCAATGTACACAGTGCAGCATATCCAGTGTCCTGTCAGCTGAAGGTGTGAGGTTCTGTACAGCACTGCACTGTTGTGTCGGGTGCTGGTCAGGGCTGCACTACACAGGCTCCGCGCCCTGTGGGTTCCCAGGAACCGCAGAGGATAGTGATACTTGCTACCATATTCTGCTGCTACTCTGTTCTCTCTGAGGCAGGGTTTCATGGACTCAGGCTGACCTGACACCTGTTGTCCAGCCCTGGCCACTGAGGGGACAGGCTTGTGTCACCACACCAGTTTATGTGGTGCGGGGAGTAAAGCCAGGGCCTCATGGGTGCCGGGGAGCTCAGCCACTCAGTTATGGCCCAGGTCGACTTCTGTTTTGTTTTGAGAGTGAGTGTTTCTGAGTGAGGGTCTCATTCGGTAGGGCTGGCTTCCTGGAACTCACTCTGTAGACCAGGCTGGCCTTGAACTCAGAGATCCACCTGTCTGCCTCCCAGTGCTGGGGTCAAAGGCGTGCGCCACCACGCCCGGCTTTGATGGGGAGAGCAAGTGTGGCACAGGTGGAGGTCAGAGGTCAGAGGTTACCTTGAGCAGATCTGTTATACCACATGGGTGCCAGGGCTAACACCTAGGTCCCAACCATCAGGCTTGATGACCTAGCACTCTTACTTTCTGCGCTCTCTTGCTGGCCTGATTTTTTTCAAACGTGCTTTCTCACTGTCCTCCTCAGGCAGACCTCACATTCCTGGGATCTTCGCTGTGGCTGGGACCATACTTACCATCCCTGACTAACACTTTTAGTTAAAGCAAGCCAAGCTGGGATGGGCTGTTGAGTGCTTGGTGCTCACTTAGCATGTACATAATCTGGATCCCATTCTCAGCTTCGTGTAAAACTGCGCTGGAGAAACAGCTCCGTAATTGAGCATGGACTGTCTTCCCATCTGTAACTCCAGCTGCTGGGGCTCTGATGCCCTCTTCTGTCCTCCATGGACACTGGCACTCACGTGGTACACAAGGATACACGCAGGCAGACTACCCATACACAAAAAAATAAATCTTTAAAAATATCACAATTCTTTAAATAGAAAAAAGCTGGGCTACAGAACAATTAATAAAAATCTGGAGACAGATATTGGGGTTCACCTGAAAGTCAGAAAAGCAAAACAGCCAGCCACTGGCTCTTACCTCTACCTCAGTCCAAAATGGACTCTTGCCTCCAGGAATCTCAGAATGAAACTGAGAGCTGTCTCCTCCTGTTTTACGTTCCTCTCTAGGACTGGGATTAAAGGCATGCACCAGTACCACCTGGTTTCTATGGCAAACTAGCTTGGCTGTTGGGATTAAAAGTGTGTGTCACCACTGCTCGGTCTGTAAGGCTGATCCCTGTGGCTGTTTTACTCTCTGAACTTAAGGCAAACTATACAAATACAAATGCAATACCACTACATCTCCCCTTTTTGTCTAATATTTTAAAAAAGAGAAGGCTATAACTATTGTACAAAAAACTATATATGGTAAGTACAATGACAATATACAATATATACAGGCTATAAATAACATCAGTAATGTCCAGTCCATTTGCATTTGACAAATTCAGAGAAAATAATCCTTGTCTATCCTAATTTGATGAGTCCAAAGTCTTGTACCTAATTTACTTTTATTTTAACTTGTTTTCTGCATCTGGTAAACTATAACTATAGCTATCTAATCTTCAACCCCCTCAGAAACCCAAGAAGGAAATAATATTAACTGAGTAAGCAGGAAGTGTGAGCAAGCGACTTCCAAAAATGTGAGAAATGACAGAAACAGCTGACTGCAAGGACAGTCACCCATGGTTCCTCTGCAACATTGGGGCATCCATCTTAGGTCCACAGGCCTAGCACTGGGCATGGAAAGCTGGGTGGCAACCTCTGGAAAATCAAGGCAAAACACAAGACCCTGAGTTCAGTCCTGTAACCTACATGGTGTCAGATGCAGCAGCACATGTCTGTGATACTAGCACACTGCAGTGAGATAGAGTGGGCGTCCTGGTGTACACAGGCTGAAGACCTGTCGCAGAAAGCGGCTTCCACATGCGTGTCACGCCATGTGCACCTGGTCACAGGTCAGAACCCTGACCTGGGGCACACAGCTGGTGGGATGACCCACACAGACTGCCCATGGGGCAGGTCCTAGACCCTTGTAGGGACCAAGGCTGTATCTAACATGGATAGATCAAGACTGAGCCTGTGTTACCATCCCTCTGTCCCCAGGACCAACTCTGACTCCGCCCTGCACCAGAGCACAATGGCCCCCACCCAGGTAGAGTCCTTCACAGGCGGGTCTCAGGACACACAGCAGAAAAGAGGTATGTCATCCCACGAGGTCACCAGCATGTCTTCAGAAAATCTTGCCCAGGCAGGGCTACTGGAGTTGGTGTTGGAGAATGCACAGGTGTTTTACAGGTAGAGCCAGGCCTGGGTGATGAGCACTGGCTGTATTCTGAGCTGGGCTGGGGCTGGGCCATGGGCCTGTGACTGACCAAACTGTAAGAAGTTGGCAGGAAGATGCAGAGAAGCCAGGCGGTTGTGGCGCATGCCTTTAATCCCAAACTTGGGAGGCAGAGGCAGGAGGATCTCTGTGAGTTCAGTGCCAGCCTGGTCTACAGAAACAGTTCCAGAACAGGCTCCAAAACTACACAGAAACCCTGTCTCAAAAAAACAAAACAACAACAACAAAAAAAAACCCTGCCCTTTCATCCTTCCCTTGGGCCCAGCTAGGTAGCTCCATGTAAGAGAAGGGTCATCGACTCCCCAGGTTGGGGTGAGCTTCCTTCCTGCTGCCATACACACGACTCTGTAGGCTGTTCCCCAAGTCCTGGGCCCCCACACAACTCTTGTGTTGAAGAGATAGGGTATGGGTTCTGTGGGGCTAGGTGTAGCAAACCGTAGACACTGAGGCCCAGGTACCAAAGGAGGCCTGTGTGTGGCAGCTCCCAGGTTCCCAGGGAGCCTCTGTTGGATAAAGTACTCATCCTGGGGGGTGTACTGGCAGGTCGCCCAAGGCTACAAGCTGAAGACTCTGCAGTGCGGGGAGCGCCGAGGTTGGGCAGAACAGTTCAGGCTGTACTGAGACCTGTGGGTTCTCCTTACACAGGGCCTCCTTCTGTAAGAGACCTGCCATGAAGGTCTCGTGCCTTCTCAGGAGCCTCAGTGGGCCTCTATGCACAGCATCCAACTTCCCTTGATGTGGGAAGACCCGTGTCTTGTGCTCCGAGAGGGACCAAGGCAATACGGGCTGGAGATTACCCCTGACTATCCCACACACACGCACATGCCTGCTTTCCATGATGTTCTTTCCCAAATGCCATTTCTTCTTCTGGTCCTGCAAGTCACAAGGGAAAACGTGAGTCCAGCAAGAGGTAGAAAACAGCACAGTGTAGCCATGGAGCGTTTGCTGAGTGTTGCAGGGCCCCGGGTCTACCCCCAGCACTGCAAAACAGAACAGAATTACACCTTCACATGACTAAGGCAGGCTTCAGGCAAAGCAAGCAGTATCCATCCACCTCACCCTCAGACCCCCACCAGCCCCCTCAAAGCGCTCCGGTCTCACCCCCTGGCCAACCTGTGGTCCCCCCTGACATCTCTGCTCATCCTCAGGCTCGCCGCCCCCTCTGGGCATCAGCAACAGCGTCAGAACCTGTCACCAGTGTGGGGGACCCTGGTCTGGCTTAGCTACTGGGGACTTGAGCGTTGATGCGGAGGCAGGGGAGGGTGAGCCACAGCTTGTCCGCTGGTCTTGCAGTCAAGGTGTACAGGGCTGTCTTGGTGACCACGCCCTCTTTGACAGCTTCAGTCACCCCTGGATATGCTGCCAGGGCCGTGCACTCAGTCTTCCTGACCTTCTCTCCCCCACATCCAGTCTTACTACTCACTGTCCCAGGCATGGAGGAGACCCGGTCTGAGACGGACAAGACACTTTCTAAGCAGTCGTGGGACTCAAAGAAGGTAAGAACCGCAGAGTGGGCTGACCTTTTCACCAACCCAGCCTAGAAACAAGTGACTGGGTAGCTTGTTGAAGTGGCTCCATCTTCCCCAAGGTGGGTCCCTTGTGCAGCTTGACTGGCACCCAGGCATTGACATTAACAGTAGGCCTGTCAGACTGCCTAGAAACAGCTCCAACATTAACATCCATGACTGGTCACAGTGGTGAAGAGGACACACTCGTCCCAGCCGAGACCTCAGCACACTGTGACCAGGCCCAGACAGGAAGCATAGAACAAGGCCTTGCTTCAGAATACAAAGCAGAAGCAGGACTGGTGAGGGCCCTCGGGGGTGTTTGCCGCCAACCCTAGGATCCATATGGTAGGAGAGGACCAACTACCTCAAGTTGTCCTCTGACCTCCACGTGCCTATAATGGCACAAGCGTGCCCAGACTACCCCAGACACACGTACGCACAAATAAATACTAAATGTCAAAAAGGAAAAGGTGCAACTCAGCAGTTCTTGCAGAGGACCCAGGTTTTGTTCCCAGCACCCAGAAGGAGACTTAGAACCATCTGTGTTGCGGTCCAAGGAACCATTGCTGTCTTCTGACTCCATGCGCACCAGGCACACACCTCGTACACATTCATACTTGCAGGCAAAATACACATTAAAAAAAATAAATCTTTTTCTTTCAAAATAAAAGGGAAGCTGGGGATGTGATTCAGGGGTATCGTGTTTGCCTAGCATGTATGGATTCCATTCCCAACACTGAAGAAAGAATCTGAACGGTAAGGCATTGCACACTTTTAATCCCAACAGGGAAGCAGAAGCAGGATCTCTGTGAGTTCGAGGCCAGCTTGTCTACAGTTTCAGGACCACCAGGGCTACACAGAGAAACATCTCAAACTAAAACCAAAATAAAAAGAAAAGAATTTTTGATCATCTAAACTCTTGGCTCAGTTCAGAAGTAGGGTGGATGTGGGCTGTCACGCAGCTGATCTTGTGTGGCTCACTTCATCTCAGTACCTGAGGCTGAGGCAGGAGGAGCAGGAGTTTGCAACCAGCCTGGGCTCCATGACAGTGTGCAGAAATAAAAATATAGAGAAGAATGAATATATGTTCAGAGACCTGGGGGCATCATCATATAGCTAAGAAAGCCGTTATGGTCTCTGAGACCATGGGACATGTCTTTTTTTTATTATTACATTTTTTTAAACTGTATTGTGTATGTGAGTATGTATGTGTGTATATGCACGAGCATGTGCTTGTGTGTGTGTACCCTGGCATGTATGTGGAGGGAAGAGAACAACTTTAGGAGTCGGGTATCTTCTGCCATGTAGGTCCTGGGAATTGAACTCAGACCATCAGCCTATGTGGCAAGCTCCTTTACTGGCTGAACCATATAACTGACCCAGAAAGCTTTTCTAAGACTTCTCCAGCTGGAGTCCCATAATATAGCAAGTCTGCTGGTCATATGCCAGCCTCAGGGAAGCCCCAGCTGCTGCCTGCCTGCCCTTCATCCCTCTGGTCTGCACCCAGCCTGCAGCACTGGCCCCTAGAGGACCAGGATCTCAGAGTCCACAGGTATCCAGGAGTCCCCAGTGCCACAGCCTAGAGCTCTGCTGTGACCATTCCCAAGAGCAGCTCCAGGATCTGGGGAGGATGTGAGAAGATCTTTACATCTCCTGACTCTGCCCTGGGCTCCTCAGAGGCCCCCTGCATCGTCGCATGGTTGCTGGTCCTGGGCAGGGGAAGCAGGGAAGGGCACAGCACTGGGCTCTGCACACAGGCAGCTGTGGCTGCTACACGCCGTCTGCTCTACTCTCTTTCAGACGGGTTCCAGGCCCAAGTCCTGCGAGGTTCCTGGGATCAAGTAAGTGTGGCCCCCACCCCTCTGTTCCAGGGCTTTTCCATCTCCAAGTCTGTACCTGCCACTAGTGGGTACCCAGGAGGTCCTGGCCTGTCACTCGCTTGCAAACATGTCCCCTATACCTGTGGACAGCTTTTCTTCCAGCCTGGGGTCCTGTCATGTTCACAGCTCACCGTGTATCCACTGATCCCCTCAGTCCCCTCCTGTCCCACTGCAGTTGTCCTGGGGTGGCATGGCTGGCCAGTTAGTCATGGTCCCAGACCTCACGTCCTGTCCCCGTCTGCCTCCCCAGCATCTTCCCATCTGCAGAGCAGGACTGCACAGCAGCCCTGATCCCCGCTACCCACAACACAGGGGGCTCCCTCCCTGACCTCACCAACACCCATTTTCCCTCCCCACTCCCGACGCCGCTGGATCCCGAGGAACCCCCGTTCCCTGCTCTTACCAGCTCTAGCAGCACCGGCAGCCTTGCACATCTGGGCCTCAGCAGCACTGGTCAGGGTAAGGCTCCCATGCTATCCGCATCCCGCAGTAGCATGCATTGGAGTGAGGAGTTCGTGGGACTGTCTAGGGGTGACACACCCATACCCAGAGTCCCATAGGGCACGGCAAAGGCCCTGGGGTGGGAAGGTGAGCATTGCCTCTAGGAATCAAGCAGTGACTTCAGGGCAGTGCTATGCAGTGCTGAGCTTCAGGGACAGTCTGGGAGCCCTTGACTTCATTTGCTAGTGACACTTTGGCTTGGCCCTTACAAGTTTACCCATTTTGTTTTGTTTTTTTTTAATTAAAAAAATATTTTATGTGAATGGGTGTTTTACCCGCATGTGTGACTGTGCAGCGTGTGTGCACAGTACTTTCTGAGGACAGAAGAGGGTGCTGGGTCCTTGAATCTGAGTTACAGGTGGGCGTGAGCCTCCATGTGCATCCTGGGAGCTGACCCTGGATCCTCCAAAGGAACAGCCAGTGCCCTCACCTTTCAAGAGCTCTTCCCCTTGGCCTGTTCCAGACTCCAGCTCCTCAGTGCCCATCCCACTGGCTCCCTGTTGGACCCACCACTGCTTCTCCTTCTACTGTGGCTGCACCCTCTTTATTTTTACCACCTACTCATTGAGGGTCCGCCCCGCCATGAGACTGATCCTACTCAGCTCCTCTGCCACCTTGTCCCTACCCCACCCCATGAAAGCTGAGCCCCATGCCCCTACTTCTGACTATCTCCCAGCCCTGACCTTACAGCTAGTTGCACCTGCTCACTACAGGGCCTTTGCCTGGGGACCATCGCTCTCCTGATGACTCACTGCCCAGCTGGCACCTTCCACTCTGCTTCAGCCTCCCTTGGTGTGGGCCCGTGTCCTCCCCAGCTGTGACTGTGGCTGTAACGTGGATTAGGACAGACGGCAGGACACATGAAGGGTGGGGGTGCACAGGTGGCCTCTCTCTGGAGCTGCTCTCCAAACCTGAGGTTGTGGGTTGCCAAGGAGCCCTGTGACCCCTGAGGCAGGATTGATAGGTATTTGAGAGCAGGGACCTCTGTGCTTGTTGCTGATGTCAGCACACAGGGGACACAGGTCAGACAGTGCCGGTATTGTGTGCATGGGCGTGTTTATTTACTGAGATAGAAGGTGAGGGAGGGTCTTGTGGATACTTGATGCTAGGGCGAAGCCTGGGACCTTGTGTCAGCTCCGCAGATGCTAACGACAGAACTGGGCCACCCACACCACCCATGTGCACTCAACCATCTCTTCACCACCGAGCCACACACACCACCACCGGGCCCTTTCCTAGGCTTCCAGGGTCTCAAGAACAGGACCCTCAGTGTCAGCTGTAGAGTCTTCACAGCCTGATCATGTGCCTGTAAGTGCCCAGCTGCAAGGCCCACGGCACAGGGAGGGCCGCCATGCTCTTCTCCCCTCACCTCCTGTTCCAGGGCTCTCCACCACTGCTTCGATGTCAGTGTAAACAAGCACAGGGAATGGCTTGTGTGATATTGTTGCTGGCCCACTGGGTTGGCCAACCCTGCCCAGTAATATGTGCCATGTGTGGTTACGAGCCAGCCTCTCCCCTTCACAAGGACTTTGTTTTCTGGGCACTTTTAAATTGAGACAGACCCTGGCACACAGACAGTCCCCACCTTGTCTGCAGACCAGTACACAGTGGAGGCTGACCCAATGTCCACTGCTGGCTATATTGTAGAGGCCTGCAGGGCCCCACCAGCAGGGCTTGCATGCTAGGGCCAGGCCACTGCCACCTGGCCAGCCTGCCCTCCCTTCCCCTGCCCAGACTTCCCCTCCAGCTGGCTCTGCTCCATAGGTGATCCAAGCTGGGAAGAGGAACCCACCAGCAGGGTGCCCATGTGGTTTGCCTGCCCATCTGGCCTCTCTGGGTTTAGTGCTTAGGCAAGGATTAAAAATGCCCTTGTATTCATGACCAGAAGGCCAGGGCTAAACACACCAGCTGACAGTGTGATTTCTGTAGCCCACAATGTGTGTGTGAGTGTGTGTGTGTGTGTGTGTGTGCATGTGCACACGAGTGTGTGTGTGCATGTGTGTGCATGTGCACACGAGTGTGTGTACATGTGCACACGTGTCTGTGAGTGTATTGTGTGTGCATGTGCACACGTGTGTGAGTGTGTATGTGTGTGCATGTGCACACGTGTGTGAGAGTATGTGTGTGTGCATGTGTGAGTGTATGTGTGTGTGTTCATGTGTGTGTGCCTGTGTATGTGTGTGTGTGTGTGTTTTTGGAGATAGGGTGACCTGTGGCCCAGACTAGGCTAGAGCTTGCAGTGTACTCGGGCATGCCCTCAAAGCCCTAATCCTCCTGCCTCCAGCTCCCATGTGTGGGGTGCAAGCATTCCCCACTCTGTCTGGTGTCTGTGGCACTAGGGACTAAAGCAGAGCCTGTGTGTTCTAGGCAAGCCATCTGCCGGCTGAGCTACGAGCCCCTCTTAGCAGTCAAGTCCCGGCCTTCCACATCTACTTTTTTTTTTAATTATTTTTGGGTTTTTGTATGTGAGTATTTTACCTGTCTCGTGTCTCTGTACCACATGTGACTGGTGCTCTTGGAGGTCAGAGGAGGCCGTAGGGTCCCCTGGGACTGGAGTGACAGATGTTTGTGAGCCTGTGTGGGTGCTCCCTACAAGAGCAGCCAGTGCACTGAGCCATCTCTTCTCACAGAGCTCCTGCCTCCAGCCCAGCATGTGCTCCGATCTGACACTGGAGGGGCTGTCACTCACAATAAGGCAGCAGCCTAGAACCCTGGCCTCCCAGACAGCACCCAGTTCTGCCACCCCCACCCACTCCAGTGCTGGGTAGAAGCAATGACCCCTGGGATCCGAGGGAAAGTGCCGGCTGCCCACAAGCACCTGCCTAGGGCACAAAGGCTTTTTGTCCTTTCATCTCTCCTGGGAGTGCTGCTGTGCTCCCACCCACCCGACTTCAGGAGCAGGTGGGTCAGGTGCCACCTGCTCTAATGGTGCCTAGCCCTCCCTGTGCTTGAACCCTCACTGGGGCCTCACAGTGACCGCCTGAGGGCACTGTTAACATCTGCTGGGAACGTGAAGGAGGGAGGTGTCAAGTGCTGGTCCTCAGGGTTCCCCTGTCATCAAAGGGGCCTGTGCCCTTGATCTCACCCAGGTCCCTCATCACCTCAGAATTCAGGGGCTGAGAGGCCTGCAGAAGCCCTGGCAGGTGCGGGCATGTCACTGCAGGGCAGGGCTGTGGCAGAGTGAGGAGTCTGGTTTCAGTTCAAGCAGCCTTGGTAAGGGGTGTGGGGAGCTCCATCCTGCTGGAGGTGTCAAAGGATGTGGATGGAGCCTGCAAGGTTGTTGAGAGGTACCTTGGCAGGAGAGAACACGCTTGGAGGGCCCTGGCATTATAGAAACCCTAAGGATGGAATTGCTAGGTTTGAGCAAAGCCAGAAAGTAGATGGGCTGTGGTGATACAGGCCTGAGAGACGGCAGGAGAACTGCCCTGAGGCCAGAGCTAGCCTGCACTACCTAGTGAGTTCCAGGTCATTCTCACTACATAGCCAGCTTGAGACGAGCTTGAGCTTCACAAAACTCTATCTCAAAAGAAAAAAATGAAAATATAAAAAGAGGCCTGGGAGGCAGAGGCAGGCGGATTTCTGTGAGTTCAAGACCAGCCTGGTCTACAGAGCTAGTTCCAGGACAGGCTCCAAAGCCACAGAGAAACCCTGTCTCGAAAAACCAAAAAAAAAAAAAAAGAGGCCCGGCAGTGGTGGCACACACCTTTAATCCCAGCACTTCAGAGGCAGAGGCAGGTGGGTCTCAGAGTTTGAGGACAGCCTGGTCTACAGAGCACGTTCCAGGACAGCCAGGGATACACATAGAGAAACCCTGTCTTGAAAGACAAAACAAACAAGCAAGGGACTGGAGAGATGGCTCAGCAGTTACCACAAGTGTTGCCGTTGCAGAGGACCTAGGTTTAGTTCCCAGCACCCACAGCCATTCACAACTGTTGGAAATCTGAGGCCCTCTTGTCCTCCACCGTCATTGACCACACACAGACATACGTTTGGGGAAACACTCACACATTAAATAAATAAATAAATCTTAATAGATACAGATATGCACCAGTAGGGAAGGACATTATCTTCTTTTTTAATATTTATTTATTACGTATGCAATATTCGGTCTGTGTGTATGTCTGCAGGCCAGAAGAGGGCACCAGACCCCATTACAGATGGCTGTGAGTCACCATGTGGTTGCTGGGAATTGAACTCAGGACCTTAGGAAGAGCAGGCAATGCTCTTAACCTCTGAGCCATCTCTCCAGCCCAGGACATTACCTTCTAAAGCCAGGACATAACCACTGTCCCTGTCACCAGAGGTTGACAGGGCTCTGATGGGCAGCACTCCCAGGGATAATGTCCAAGATCCCAAGACAGGTTCTGATTGGTTACATGGGGTTAGTGCTGATTGTCAGAGGCCCATCCTGGGTATCACCACAAGTGGGCTGTGCCCATGTGACCGCCTCTCCTTAGTGCCCTTCTTCCTTTGTAGGTGTGAGCACCCCCAGCTCTTCTCCACAGCACCGGCCAGCAGTCATCAGCCCGCTGTCCCTGAGCACAGAGGCCAGGCGGCAGCAGGCCCAGCAGGTGTCACCCACCCTGTCCCCGCTGTCACCCATCACTCAGGTGCGAGGGTGAGGTGGGTGGGGAAGATGGGAATTCCCAGCTCCTCCCTTACCCCTGGTCTGTAGGATCTGGATCATGGTTCTGTTGTTAGCAGTTTATTTGTGTGTGTGCATGTGTGTGCGTGTGTGCGTGCGTGTGTGTGTGTGTCATGTGCATCAGGTTCCTTGGACTGGAATTAGAGGTGACTGTGAGCTGGCATGTGGGTTTGAGACCCAAACAGGTTTTCTGCAAAAGCAGCCAGCACTCAAGTCCCACATCAGCAATTTGTGCTGTTCATCAACAGAGCTTCCAGTAGAAACTGTTCAAACCATTGAGTTTTTTGTTGGTTGGTTTTGCTTTTTTGAGACAGGGTCTCACTGTATATATTGCCATGACTGGCCTGGACATATCCTGGAACTCACTCTGTAGACCAGGCTGGCCTCAAACTTAAGAGAGATCCACGTGCCTCTGCCCCGAGTGCTGGGATTAGAGGCGTGCGCCACCACCGCTAGCTATAATTCAGTATTAATTAAAGGCGTGTGCCACCACCACTAGCCATAATTCAGTATTTATTTTGGAGTATTTTTGTTTGTTTTTGAAACAAGGTTCATGTAACCTGAGGGACTGAGAATGACCTTGCATTAATCATCCTCTGTTCTCATCTCCTCTGTCACCACTCTTGGAGTGGTGTGAGGGCCATCAGCAGGCATCTGGGTTGCTGGGCAGAAAGAACAGCTTAGAGTGATCCCCCTGCCTCGGCCCCCGAGTGCTGGATGGCAAGTGTGCACCCCTGCCCAGGGCCTCTCTGTTTGTTTTTATGCCACACTCACTGAGTGTGGCGTCCTTGCTCTAGGGAGAACAGACTATTGGGATAAGACACATAGAGCTCCCCCCCTTGCCGCTGCCGGCACCGAGGATCCAGCGTCTCATCCTTGTCTTCTGCTACAGGCCGTGGCCATGGACACCCTGTCCCTGGAACAACAGCTGCCCTATGCCTTCTTCACCCAGGCTGGATCTCAGCAGCCTCCCCCACAGCCCCAGCCTCCACCTCCTCCTCCGCCTGTGTCGCAGCAGCAGCCACCACCCCCACAGGTGTCCGTGGGCCTCCCCCAGGGTGGCCCACTGCTGCCCAGTGCCAGCCTGACAAGAGGGCCCCAGCTGCCACCGCTATCAGTCACTGTCCCGTCCACTCTCCCCCAGTCTCCTGCAGAGAACCCCGGCCAGTCACCTATGGGGATCGACGCCACCTCGGTAAGCCTGAGAGGGCTCCCTGGGCACTCAGGGTGAGCCTGAGGGGCTCCCTGGGCACTCAGGGTGAGCCTGAGGGGGTCACTTGGGAACACTGAGCTTTTCCTATTTTCCACTTCAGTCTTGGCTGCTGTAGGAGGCTGTGCCACCAAGTGGCTCTGAGCCTCACAGGGAACCTGCTGAGGGGGCCCAGGTGGAAGTATCCATTCAGGACTGGGGGTGGCACCGTGCTCGAGCCAGACAAGGAAAATCAGCAAAGCTTGGCCCTCACCCCAGGAACTTCTGGCCTCCAGGGACAGTGGACCTGAGTGGCCTCGCAGCTCATGGGGTTCTCCATATCATCCAAGCTGGTCCCACCGTGACTATCCTGCTGGTTGAGCGCCCTTCCTCTACACCCGTCTAGGCTTAACCCTCCCCAGCTTGCTTACCCAGGCCACTAAATACTCTGGGGAGGCTGAGAGTAAGAGACCCAGAAAGCCGCGTGAATGCTCACAGCCTCCAGGCTGGAGTGTGGTCAGAATTCAGGCCCTGCCCCTGTATAACCTGCCTCTGAGGATACCTTGAGCAGTCAGAGGGTGTGACCTGTGGGATTGTATGTCATGTCATGTGCTCACTGCAGTTTTGTTTAACCCAGTGTGTTGCTGCGGACACAGGGGGGTTGCCAGGACGGGCTGCTAAGGGGATAGGGGCAGAAGACCATCTCCGCTTGTGAAGCTGCTGTTCCCGTCCAATGTATGGGGTGGGGGTTTGAGTGGGTATGTACATGTGTGAATTCCAGCTCACTGGGGTTCATGCAGCAGGTGTGCAATGTGTGTCTGCACATTCTAGGTGTGCAGGCATAGTGTTGTAGATGCTTAGACATATCCATGGATGTGCACACACATGTATGTGTTCATGTAAATAGTGTATGCTGTGATGTGTGCAAGAGTGTTTGTGGGGGTGTAGGTGGGAAGTGTGTGCAAATGTATTTGTGGGTGTTGTATATGTGTTCATGAATGGAGTGTGTGTATTAATGAGTGGAGTTATTCAGGTAAGTGTCGTTCATTTATGTGGTGTGCTTATAGGAGTGTGTGGATTACCATATGGATATACAACTGTGTCAGGTGGGTGTGCAAGGGTTTTGCATCTGACAGGAGTCCCTGCTGTGGGCTCCAGGTGGGGTCCTGCAGCCCTCTGCGCGCCCTCGGGAAGCTGCGTCAGTCAGATCCTCCACCTCAGAGCTCACGGTGGATTCTCAGGACCACTGACAACCACGTGGCATCCATTGTTGAGGGTCCAGACATCAGGCCGGGGTTTGTTGGGCCAGTGCAGGAGTCAGCGAACCCTGCCTGTCTGTCATCACAGGCCCCGTCTCTGCAGTACCGCACGAGCGCAGGCTCACCCGCCAACCAGTCTCCCACCTCTCCAGTCTCCAATCAAGGCTTCTCCCCTGGAAGTTCCCCACAAGTAAGGGCCCCTCCCCTGGCCCTGTGCCACCTCACCTCTCCCATGTGCCAAGTGCTCCCCTGCGCTGTCACCCGCTCATGCCATCTGCCCAGGGCTGTGCACCCACCGGGTAGGCCTCCTGCGCCAAGGGGGCAGGACACAGGACAGGGCACAGAAGTTTGTCACACCGTTGATAACCATGGCACAAAGGTCCTCGGGATGCCAGAACAGCCCCACTGTGTGACTCAGAGGCCTGTGAAGGTCAAGGGGCAGCTTGTCCAGGCACAGCCAGTCTGGGAGCTGCTCGGCCTCTCCCTCCACCCCTGGGTTCAGCTGTTGATACAGCAGTCTGTATGTAACCACACTTGGCTGATATGGCCTTCGTTTTACTTGGGTTGTGGTTTTGAGACAAGGTCTTATGTAGCCCAGGCTGTCCCTCATTCACTGTGTAGCCCAAGTGACCTCAAACTCTGAATCCTCCTGCCTCAGCGTGTCAGTACACATCAGCACAACAGCCCAGATCCAGTGAGCAGCACATCCCAGATGCCCTTGCCCTGCAGGCCCGAATCAGCTAAGAAAGCACCCTCCACTCCTCACAGCCTTCTTCCCTGTTCGGGTTGAGGTGTGGCTCAGTCTCATTGGGCCCACATTCTGTTCAGAACATCTGTCAGGAGCTCACCATCCCGGGGCCACCCCACCCTAAAATGCCACCAGGCAGAGACAGTTGTATTGTCCTTTGTAACGCCCCAGGCACTGAAGTCTCCTTAGCCCCAGTACAGGGGCATTAGGTTCCTTCCAGGCTAGGACCAGAAGGAGCACCAGACAGAGCACCAGTCAAAGATGAGGCTGTGAGGTTCCCAGTGGTGGCCATCCACCTGCTTCAGTCAGCACCAGTCCACTCCCGCTGAGCTCTGGGGCTCGACAGCAGCAGGTAGGACAGAGCAGGAGCCTGCAGTCCGCTGCACACCTCTCTGAGAACAGTGTGGGACATTGTTTGTCCCAGAGGGAGCAGGCTGTCCTAGTCCTGTTGTTCAGCCTGTGTGCCTGTAACTCACTCATATGGAAAACAGGTGCCATCTGCTGGTGAGGCCAGGACTCTTGGGGAATGTGACTCTAGTGGAGACTGCAGAGGCAAAAGGTTCATCCAGAACCCAGAGGTGCCTGGGCTAGACCACATATGGCTTCCTGTTGGGTTGCCTTAGGCAGGCCACTGGGCCTTGGCTGTGTCCCCTCTGAGCATGGTGCCGTGTTTATTCACCCAGGCCTGGTTCCTGCTAGAATTCAAGCCCTACCCTGAGTTGCTTACTTCAAGGGTAGCCTCACAAGGCTCTGGGACAGAATAGCCACCATCTCGGAAGTATGCCCAGCACCCCAAAATAGCCCTGCCCCCTCTTAAATGAAATCCTCAGCTACTGCTGAGGCTGTGGGACTTGGGCAGCAGGGCCTGTCATGAGACATCTGTCTCCTCCCAGGAACCGGATCCTGAACGCACCCTAGATGAAGCTCACACTGAGCCGGCAGCCCGTGGACACTGTCTCTTAGGATCTCATTGGTGTCAGCACATTCAGGAAGGCCTGGGTCTGGTGGCTTCTTTGGGCCACTCTGTCACAGAGGAGAAAATGGGTCCCCATCTTCAGTGACCTGTCAGGCTCGTGATAGCTATAACTCTAGGTGCCTTGGGTGTGACTTAGCCACGTTTACGGCCACCCATGCCCTTTTGTCCACGTCCCAGCCAGCTCCAGGGCATGTCCTTAGTGTAGCCCGCAGGAGCTCTCTTCTGACGGTCCTATGGTCCTAAAGGCCCCTGTCCTTCTGCCTGGTCCTGAAAGTCCAGCTAGCCGTGACTGAAAGGCAAGTGTCATAGGAATGCACTGTACAGAGCCCAGGGTGTCACAGTCAGCCCTAGGCAGTGGCTTGTCCCTGACTGTCTCCTGTGCCATTTCCATGTTTCCCCAAGAACATACTGCATCCCAAACACAAATGCACACACTGCCTGTCCTCGGCTTCAGGAACCCCACAGTTCCTGCTTCCTCTAAAAAGGAAGTGCTGTTCCCCATACCCAGGGTTAGGGCAGTGCTGTCAGAGGGCCTGCACCCCAGCATCAGGGCACAGACCCTAAGAATTACAAGTTAAATGACAGTTAACCCCACCCTCTAGGAGGCTCCAGGGGTTTCATCCCACCCAGGGGCTGTGGGAAGCACAGATGTCAGAAGCACTCCCGCCCCTGGGTCTCAGGCTGCAACCACAGCAGGGCTCTTTTCTGTCCACAGCACACATCCACCCTGGGCAGCGTGTTTGGGGACGCGTACTATGAGCAGCAGATGACAGCCAGGCAGGCCAATGCTCTGTCCCGCCAGGTGAGCGGGTACCCAGGCCTATGGGCCATGCCACAGCAAGACCAGGCCTCACAGAGACCCGTGTACCATCCTAGGCTCCACTGCTCTGCCCCCTGTCCTGCTGCCAGGCTGTGAAAGCGAAGGCCCTGGCAAGGGTGACTTGTCCACATCTCCCTGACCTCTGTGAACCCTGCAGGGTAGAGTTTGAGGGCACGGGAGGAAGGGCAGGCATGTCCTTGGTGTGGGCTCCTGACTGTCCCGTGGCAGTGGCGGGAAGGGCTCTGCCGGAGGGGAAGCCTGGGAGGATTCGGTGGCTTCGAGTCTCACTGGCCCATCCATCATCCATCCATCACCTTGCCAGCAGGGCCGTGGGTGGGAGGAACTGTCCCTGTTCATCGTCCTCACGGCCTCTCCTGGTCCCTGCGTAGCTGGAGCAGTTCAACATGCTGGAGAACGCCATCAGCCCCAGCAGCCTGTACAGCCCGGGCTCCACACTCAACTACGCCCAGGCCGCCATGATGGGTCTGAGCGGGAGCCATGGAGGCCTGCAGGACCCACAGCAGCTCAGCTACACGGGCCACGGCGGGATCCCTGACATCATCCTCACGGGTGTGTGTCCTCAGCCCACGCTGCCGCCCCAGCTGTCTCCCCACAGTACATCCCATTCCCTCTCCTCACACTGTGCGCTGGATTCCAGTTCTCATCTTCAGCCAGGGAGAGTTGCCATGCACAGGGCCCTCTGTTTAGGACCAAGCTGGTCACACTTCAGCCCAGTACTCTGTCCTTTGCTGGCAGTCCCACACCCATATCCAGGAGACAGTCCTATTCATCCCACAGAGCAGTGTAGCCAAACCTCACTCCATCTAGCCCAGTGGCCAGCCCACCCCAAGTCTCCCTTATCTACCTCCTGTTCTCTGTTGGGGATAGTGTCCCCCCATCCTGTGGGCTTTATCCTCAGGACCCCTGCAGCTTGAAGGGTGGGCTCTGTGGTTAGATAGACCCATCCACCAGCCAAGAAAGGATGGCTGTGAGTCTCCAGGCCTGGACACTGGGCAGGCACAGCCCTGACGGTAAAGAGCTGAGCCTCCAGGGAGTAGCCATGTACCTCAGACCGTGAGTCAGTAGCATGTATCCTTCAGGCGGACATTGCCGTCCGCCACCAAGCATGTGGTGTTATGGGTGTCTGGTCTCAACCTGTACTCAGGACTGGACCAACTGAGGCTGTGTGCACCAGTGCCAGTGTCTACCCCATCATGAATACCTTAGCTGTTCTGATGCCCCTGCAGAGCTTTCCCTGGGGTGAGCTGCCCCCCCACACTGGTGGGAGGTGTCTGGTTCCCTGGAGCCAAGGCTAAGCCTTATCATTTGTCCCCCCCCCCCCACAGTGACAGGAGAGTCCCCCCCCAGCCTCTCTAAGGACCTGAGCAGCACACTGGCAGGGGTCAGTGATGTTGGCTTTGACTCAGACCATCAGTTCCCACTGGATGAACTGAAGATCGACCCTCTGACCCTGGACGGACTTCATATGTTGAATGACCCCGACATGGTCCTAGCCGACCCGGCCACCGAGGACACCTTCCGAATGGACCGCCTGTGAGTGGCCGTGCTTGCCACCCACCGCTGGTCAGTCCCCGACGGCGCCGCTCCAAACCTGGGGATGGCGATGTTCCATCCTCCTTTGCCAACGGCCAAGCTTGTGGTTCTGAGCTTGCAATGCTGCCCAGCACCCCCTGCCAGCCGCTACCCTGGTTGTTCACCTCCCTGATGCCAGGCCAGCTATCTGTCCATCTATCCGTCTAGCTGCAGCCAGGCTGATCACAGGGACTGTGAGTGCCTGGCCCCCATGGACTTTCCCCACGCTCTCTCCCTGGCCCCTCATCGGGGATGATGGGGCCCTCATCAGTGGTCCACTTCCAAGATACCCAAAGTGTCACTCACTCCCAGATGTGCTGCACAGGGGGCTGGGGCCTGAGCGTGGGAGTGCCCTAGAGGCTAAGGTGCACCGTCCATTCAACTGTTCTCAGCTGTCACTGCCTCTCTTCATCCCTACCCCTCCTCTGCCATCACCCCCAGTCCTGGTCAGGTCACGCATGCCCACCATGCCCAGGGCGAAGACAGCAGAGCAAAGGGACAGACTCGGAGCAGAATAAACACTATTGGATGGCGGCCTTTCATATTCCTGAGTGCTCTTGGAGCCTGACAGTCGACCTGTGGTCAAACGTGGTGTGGTCAGAGCCCACTGAAGCAGCCAGTGTCCCCTCCTCCACCCTCTTTCAAGCACCCTTTGCCTACTGCCAGACAATGCCCAGCATTGCCATACAGGGCAGACGGAGGGTCATAGGCCGCCTGCCCATTTTCATCCTTCCTTCCCAGTCCCATGATTGGTTCTTACTGCTGCTTAGGAACTGGGGCTCAGGCGACAGCAACCCTGTGGGTTTTGCTTTTCCTTGAGTTTGTATTAACGTTTGTTGACCGACCCTCCAGCCTCTCTGGCATGGAAGCATGTGTTATCCCCAGTCCCACCTTGACCTTTTTTTTTTTTTTTTCCAAGCCAGGCTGTCTGGCTGCACACCCAGATGTCACTCACCTGCACTTAGTCTCAACTCCAAAGAGCTGGATGGGCAAGGAGGGGACTGGATGCAAGGTCCTGGTGACAAAACTGTAAGAACCACAGAACAGACTCCTAGGAACAGGCCTTGACTTTCATTGGGGACCTCTGGAGAACGCATTTCCTCTGAGCCTCCCCAAGGTGCCAGCCAGGCCTCAGTAGTTGGCTGGTCGCCACATCTCTATGCTAACAGTCTGTGTTGGGAGCTGTGGACCTGGCTTGTCTTTTGTGGGCCACTTTTAGCCTGGAAGCTCTGATTCCCCATGACCTTGAGTTACAACTTGACGCTGTCGTATGCCTTTATCCACCAGGGCCACGCCTTTTGCTTGTTTCTCGGTGATTTCGCCCATTGCCCATGCTGGGGGTTTGGGGAGCACGGGAACTGTGTGTGTCTTTCCCCAAGCCACTCTGTGACTGCCTGCATGAGAAAGCCGCTGCCCCTCCATCACCGTGCCCCACCCCGTTCCCATGGACTTGGGGACATAGCATTGGTTTGTCCTGTTCACCTGTCACCATGGTACGTGCTAGGAGGGAATAGCAGGGACATCACCATCATCCTCCTTAGGAAGCATGCATGGTGTGTGCTTGTCTTTCACCCTGCCTGAGCTATGTGAGACCCTGTCTTAAGACAGAAGGTGCACATGCTTGGAGTCTGATTCTCCCCAGGTGGAGAAGCCTGAACAAATAGCCTTAGCAAGGTAGAGAGTCAGAGGCAGTTGTCAGGCAAGGCCCGACTTCCAGGAGCCAGTCACTGGCCTTTCAGGTTCTCAGTGAGCTGGGGCAGGAGGGACACCCCGCAGCCAGGAGTGTGCATGTAGCTGCGTTAGCATGACTTGGTTCATTGCCAAGTTCCTTGATGGGGTGATGGGGCCCCAGCCAGGGGTTAGGTGCCTGCGTGTTCTGGATGGGCTCACTTTTCCCCCACCCTGGGCCTAGAGGCTTGGTGGCAGTGGTACCCCTGAGGGTAGTCTTTGTTTTCTAGATGTCAGTTATCTTGCCTAGTATTGCCAAGCCATCCCGAGTCAGTGCTGTGGGGACCCCCAGCTGGTGACGTAACATACTGACCCATTGAACTTTGATGGGAGCAGTTATCCTGGAATCCCCACAACATGTACATAGATCTCTGCCCACATCCATGCTTTCTCAGGACAGGTTTGGACACCTGGCCTTTCCCTGCAGACCTCAGCTATGTGCCATCTTCAGCCAAGCCTCAGCTATGAGGCGGTCTGACCCATTTCTCCATTTCAGAACAAAGTGGAGCACTATGCTCAGATGCCTCAATTTACCTCGCCGTTTCAGCCCCTGGGGCAGTGGTTGTCCACCCACAGGCCCCCAGATGGAGGAGGCAGCTGCACCCAGCCCGTTTCTGTCCCCTCCAGCGACGGGTCCTGTCCATGTCCCTTCTCTGTGGCACCGTTCAATGCCAGGGAGGGCTCTCAAGTTCATTGCATATTTAGTCTGGCCTTCAGCTCTTTGAAAGACTCTTACAGGGGCCCTAGCGAGACCCACACACCACCCCCAGCATGCCAAGATGGCTGGCAGCTGTCACAGTGGGCCTGGTGCAGGACAAGAACAGGCAGAAGGTACGGAGGCAGCCGCCTGTGCCGGTGCTGACCACTCTGGTCATGGGATTGGTTCATGGCATCCTGGGTTTCTGTTTTTCCTTAGAAAGTTTCTGTGCCCAATAGAGCCATAGGTGGAGAGGGCTGGTGGGATCAGGGTCCTGGTGGAACTGCGGCACAGGTGTGGGTCGGTCAGGTCAGATTATATTTGTGCCCTAGGCCCTGCCTGTTGTCCCTCAAGAAGTGTCCAGGTGAGGGCATCATGTGTGTGGTCCGAACAGCTGGAGGGAGACACGGCCTTTTTCAGACCCCAAGGCCTGCCCCAAGTGTGGTGGTTCCTGGTCCTTTTCATACCCTTTCTCCTTGTCCCCTGGGGTCCCTACTTCCTTCAGGAATCTCCTGGTGGATGACCTGGAGCCCCTGATCACTGCTGTCTCAGGCATGGCCCTCAGTGTGGCACAAATGCTCACCACCCCATTGGTCATAGCTGTGTCTCCCCATTGGGGCAGAAGGTGGAGGGACCTGTGCCCTCTCAAGCCTGGGTGCTGGGGTACTCCCAACGGCAAGGGGTCCCCTTCCATTGCTTTTTCAAACTCGTTGGGCTCAGGGGCCCAACTCTCTGGGCAGGGTGGGGACAGCGGCACCTTCTGGACTCAGCCTTTCCCTGGGGCTGGAGATCCGTCACATGTAGTAGGGGCTCACCCCATCTCTTGGGGCTCTAGAATCCCAGGGTGACCAAGGTCCAACTGATTACACGGGGGACATGAGGCCAGCTTTGGTTCTCAGGCTATCTCACCCCATAGTAGGAAACAGAATGCCATGGGCTGGGCAGCCCCTCTGATATATGCAAATGGATGGTCCCACCCCCCTCCCTGTGCCCACGCTGGCTCCGCCCCCAGCATGCGCACTCTGCCGCTGTGGATGTCTGTGAACTACACACATGGACACTGCAGTTGGGGGTCAGGTTGCTCAGGGCACGCACGGCTGCCCACCCCACCTTCTGGCGCAGACGCTTCTTTGTATTTTTGCGCCCTTTGTAATGAAATGTAATAAAAACCCAATGTTTTCGTCTGGGCCTCTCCCTCTTTTCCTCCTCCATCCTGGATGCCTTGTTCTTCTGTGTCTGAGCCCCACACAGGCCTGAGCTCCTTGCACAGCCCCCACTGAGCCCCAGTGACTTTGGGGTTCTTCAAACTTGGAATACCCGTCTGATCATACCCGGGGTGTCAGCATCTGTAGTGACTATCTGAATGACCAAAGTACAGATCTGGGCCTCCCTGGGGGCCGTTCACAGAGCGAGCCTCCTGCAGCAGAGACCAGAGCCCCCAGTCCCCCGCATTTACACTTTATTAGCCTTTCCTTCCCAGGCCAGGCACCCCTCCAGAGTGATGCCAGACCCACAGACAAGTGTAGCTCAGGCTACCACAGTTCATCAGGCAGCAGTGCCCACGTGAGTTCCCTAGGCCCTCTGCAGCTGGTGATTCCCGTAGTCCTCAGGGAGTGTATCTGTAGATTGAAAGACAGCGGGTGAGAATGCCTCCTGGAGCCTTTCGGGTCCTGCCTGCTGGCCCCAGCTCACCATTGCAGCGGTAGCGCAGGTTAGCCCAGATGATGTTCTCTTGGGAGAAGCAGAAGACGCCCAGGCGACCACCACGCATGGCCGTGTCCAGCACCACGTTGCTGTCAGCCACTAGCTCAGGACCCTCATAGAACCGCACCCTGTGACGGGAACCAGTGAAGTGGGGTTCCCATGCTCGCCCCCCTTCATCACTGGCTCACACTTAAAAGATATGGACTGGTGTCACAACAGGAGCAGAAGAGCCTGCCTCAGTTTTCCCTGTAAGAATGTGTTAGGTGCCCTGTACAAAGGTGCTGGGGTCCTGTCAGTTCTAGTCAGGACCATCTGCCTATGCTGCAGATGGAGCCCATTTCTTCTAGAACCACCACAAAACGTGGCATCCCCAGTGCAGCTCACCCACTGCAGGGCAGTCCCCACCTGATGTAGCCAACTTGAGGCCGGTGCTGCAGGAACCAGCGGTAGGATGTCTTATCCTTCCAGCCCACATTGCGAGGATCCTTCCACAGCAGCCGCACCTGGGATGCTGTGTCCCCCGTGTGCCACAGCGCATTGCGGAGCTGTTCCCCAGGACCCGTGGAGGACTTGACTGCCTGTCACAGGGAGGGGAGTCTGCAGTCTCTGGACTGGAAGCACAGGGCACCCTGGGGACCCTCTAGGTTTGCTGGCTTGTAGGTTACAGGTGCCTGCTGGGATAAGCTGGCGTCTAGAGAACCTGCGCACCTGTTGCAGGTGACTGCAGGAGGGATATGCAGTGGCCAGGTAAAACTCGGCTTCTGTGAAGGTTTGGGCTGAAAGGTACACGAGGTGCTTCTAAAGGAGTGCGCTCTCTCTCTCTCTCTCTCTCTCTCTCGTTCCCTTCCTTCCTTCCTGAGGCAGGATATATCTTCAGTTTTTCACTGCATATATGTGGTGTATGTACATGGAGGTGCGGCCGGGAGTTAGTGTCATATCCATCCCCAAGAGTTTGCCACCTTGTTCAATAGAGCAGGGTCTGTAGTGAAGCCTGGGGCTCCCCAGTCTGATTAGTCTCGCGAACCAGCTTACTCTGGGCCTGTCTCTACCTTTCAGGCTGGAATTACAGGTGGGCCGCCATGCAGACCCAGTATTTGTGTGGGTTCTGGGGAATCCAAACTCCAGTCCCCGTGCTTGGACTGCAGGGGCTTCTTTCCCAGCCCTCCTGCAGGAGGATTCACGGGCTTGTGTGGCAATGGTTGGGGGAAAATGAGGGTAGTGACCTTGAGGGCTGTGGGACAATGCTGGAAGGCTGTGAAGGCTTTGGGGTGAAGTTGGGAAAGGATAGTGTGTGTGGGGGGGGGGGGGGGCGCGGGGACCAAGAGGGCGCAGCGCAGCAAGCACCTTGAGCTGAATCCCTGGTTCGGCCACCGCCCGGAAGGGGTTGGCCTGCCAGTATGTCTGTTCCATCTGTTTCCACATGACCACGTAGAAACTCGAGCTGTCCTGGTAGCCGAAGATGAAGCCAGCATAGTCATCATCAGTGACCGTGTTCACATGGAATGTACCCTCGAAGTCTACGCCATTGAAGGCTGTGTACCCTGTAGAAGGGGAGAGAGAAATGGGGCCTCCCAAAACTTGCTTGCTCTGGACACCCAGTTCCTCCAGTGAACTAGGTTTTCTGATAAGGCCCCACCCCCAGCATACCATTGGCCACATCCAAAAGCATTCCAAATCCCCCTGGCTCAAGGGCCAGGCCTCCCAAGACCACTCCCTCACAAGGCCATGCCCTCAGGACCCTACGCACAGCAGCAACCCCACCCTTCCCGGGTCCAGACCAACCAACGTGGAAACCCACCTATGGCCACTCCAGCAACCTGCCATCTGTCCTCACCTCTCTGTCTCCCCTTTTCTCTACCCTTCCCAACACTAGGCTGACAGGTCCTGCTCTGTGGCCACGCCCCCATAATCCCGCCCCACCCCGCCCCGTCTCACCCACAGCTAGGCCAGGGTCACTGTTCATGGTCTGCACGATCTCCATTCCCTGGGGAGGTCGGAGGAACAAGGAAGAGTCTCAGGCCGACGCTGAGGGGCTCCTAGGCTTCCTTAAATAGCCACGGTGGCCCCTGGCCGCACCTGATTGAGCACCACCCAGTTGGGATCAATCTGCGCGTCCCCCTCGGGATCCAGCACAACGGTTTGGAAGGCCCTGAAGTCGGTGAGAGTGACCTCCGCATTCTCGGGGCACACGTCGATCTTGTCTACGACCTTGTCAGCGTCAAAGTCGCCCTGACACGCGTCACCCACGCCATCCCCTGAAAGGAGGTGGGACACGAGCTGCCACTTTGGGCTCAGTTCAGGTCGCTCCCTCCACACACACACACACACACACACACACACACACACACACACACACACACACACGAGATGCCGGCCACGCCCACACCTGTTACTGACCAGGCCCACATCAGCTAGTGACTACACCCTCACTGCCCTTACTGTCACTGTCCTCCTGGCCTGAGTTGGGCACCAGGCGGCAGTTGTCCTGGTCGTCAGGGACTCCGTCATTGTCGTCATCGTCATCACAGGCATCGCCCTGGCCATCGTGGTCGGAGTCCAGCTGGGCACTGTTGGGCACTGTGGGGCAGTTGTCCCAGGAATCCTGGTGTCCGTCCCCATCCCTAGAGTGAAGGAGTGGGACGATGGGACTCTGGGAGGGGATGTCATGCACCACTCAGCTGCGACCATCTCAAGGGCTACTTACTGGTCCTGGTCGCTGTCACAGGCGTCGCCCACAAAGTCGTGATCCACATCTCTCTGCAGTGGGGTCAGGAGTCAGTCAGGGCCGAGGACCCCCGGCTGCCCTTGGCAGGAAGGCTCCCCTAGGAAGTGGCATACCTGATCCGGGTTGTCTCTCTGGGGACAGTTGTCACAGGCATCCCCAACGCCATCACCATCGCTGTCACTCTGGTCAGCGTTGGGCACCCTGGGACAGTTGTCAGCTACATTTTTTATTCCTGAGACAAATCAATGAAATAAGGCTGGATCCCAAGAAAGGCCAGGTTAGGACAGGGTCAGAACAGCACGGGTCAGGCCTGGCACCTGAGAGAGAACCCACTCCTGCAATGCAGGTCGCCCTCTGACCTCCACATGTGTGCCATGGCCCTCATGCACATACATGCATGCACACAGGTGCGTGTACACAAAAATGATAGATTAAGCTGGGCGGTGGTGGCGCACGCCTTTAATCCCAGCACTCGGGAGGCAGAGGCAGGCGGATCTCTGTGAGTTCGAGGCCAGCCTGGTCTACAGAGCTAGTTCCAGGACAGGCTCCAAAGCTACAGAGTAACCCTGTCTCAAAAAACCAAAAAAAAAAAACAAAAAAAAAGGAAAGAAAGAAAGAAATGATAGATTAAAATGTAATAAAAATGCTGTTTGCTTTGGCACTCCCTGAGTTAAGGCCAGCCAGGTCTATATAGTGAGTTCTAGAACAGCCAGGGCTACACAGAGATACTCTATCCATCTTGCAGCCGTGGTTTCAGGCTTCCCTCTGTTGACTTTAGCCACATCAGGGTGGGTCACCATTCATCTTCCAAGCATTCAAGCACTGCCACTGAGAGATGCCCCCCCCCCCGACTCTCCAGCCATGCTCACGGTCGCCATCAATGTCGTCGTCGCAGGCATCGCCCCGGCCATCCCGGTCTGTATCTTTCTGGTCATCATTCCTCTGGGACCGACAGTTGTCACAAGCATCTCCCCACTTATCGCTGTCCGAGTTGCGCTGGTCTGGGTTTCGAACCAGCGGGCAGTTGTCCTAGAAGACAGGGCAAGTGAAGTCAGGGGGGGGGGAGACACAGATCGCCTCCCAATTGGCTGGCAGAGGGATAGGCTGATAGCTTTAGTTCAATTTCCCTGGAGCTTACTCAGTGTAAGGAGAAAACCGTTTCCTGCAAGTGTCACACTGGCGAGTGGACACACACACGAGCTAATTAATTAATTTAAAAGAAAAAGAAACAAAAACCACTTCCCAGACCTGTGCATCTCCAAGTAGGTCCCGCCCCTCCGTCGGAAGCTGGACAACCAGCTAGAGGTCAAGCCGTCCCCAAACCCCGTCCACGGCCCTCTCACATTTACCTGCTCGTTGGGGATTCCATCCCCGTCTGCGTCCGGGTCGCAAGCGTCTCCGATGCCGTCGCGGTCCACGTCCTCCTGCCCCGAGTTGGGCACTGTCACGCAGTTATCCTGGGGAGCGCGTAAGTCGAGTGAGGGGGCGTGTCTATCTGGACTCACCACGCCCTCCAGGTCACGCCCTCCAGGTCACACCCACCTTGCGGCACTGGCGCTCTGAGCAGCGCAGTTTCTCGTCCGGGAAACCGTCCAGGTCCGTGTCGCGGCCGCAGAGGAGCCCGTTGCCGGCCCAGCCGATGGCACACTGCGCAGGGCAGTCGGTGTTAATGTCCACGCACACCTGAGCCCGGGGACCCCTCCTCCACGACCTGTGCGCCCTCACTCACCACGCATGACGTCGAACCGTCGCGCTCCAGGACGCAGTCC